ACTAAATACCTATAAGGTCCAAACCTATAGTTAGGTACGTGGAAACCCCTTATAACACTTTAACTACCTAAGGTTTCGAGTTAATATGGCAACACTAGTAAGCTTAGTAGGCTCTAGGGCCGTGACTAGAAGTTCCACTTCCAGTCCTACGAGTAATTAGGCTATAGTACTGGCCATATAGGCTAGTAAGATCCAATAGCTCAAGGAGTAGATGGCGGAACTTATAGGCCAACTCTAGGTTTAGGTGGCTGGGGTAGTCGCCATAAATATAGCTCCAAAAATGTAGTTTAAAGTACCCGAACTATTTAATAGAGATAAGGAAAAACTTAAACCCTTTCTTACAAATATAGACCTATACTATAGGTATAATAAATAGACACTAGCTATAGATTAAGATAAGATCGTAGTAGTAGGCATACACATAACTAGAAGGGTAGCTAAATAAATATAACTACTAATAGATAACTACTTAAAGAATGAAAACATAATTACTAAATATAGAATAGAAATAAAGAAGATATTTAAGGACTAGGAGACCTTCTAGGAATAAATATAGGTTATATTTAGAGAAGTAGATAAAAAATAATAGGCTAAGTAATAAATCTAACGCCTTAGGTAAACTAAGTTGGCAAGTACCTACTCTATAGAATTCTAATAACTCTAGGTAAGAATTAACTAGGATAATACACTATTATAGGCCGCGTACTATAATAGCCTTAAGGAGATTATTAAGGATGAACTAGTATACCATAATAAGGCTAATAACTTAGATAAACTTATTAAACTTATAGTATGAGTAGACAATAGGTGTCACGAGAGCAATAAGTAAGATGTCTAAGGCCTAGGTAGGCTAGATTAATATACTACGTTTGGTATCTACGTGTAGGTACAAGACGTTAGATAAGGAGAAAAGATCCTCTCCCCTATCTAGTATAGATCTATCTTCTCGCTTCGTCACATACCCTTATTAAGGGTGGCTAGCGCCATGCTTTAACCAATCAGCTAGTAGACGGGCCACCTATCTAATAATTTATTAACTGGCTGCCAGCGCGCGATATCTCTAAGATATACTACTACCAGTAGTATATCCATGCTTGTTAGGTAGCCTCTAAGGTTACTATAAC